GAGAAAGGAAAGATACAAGGGAACTCTGAAAGAGTCCATTGTTATGAATGCCAAGGATTTGGCCACTTTGCTCAAGAATGCCCTAATCGTTTAAGGAAGAAGAAAGCCTTCGCTATCACTTGGGATGATGAATCCGAGTTCGATAAAGATGAAAGTGACAACGAAGCACAAGGTGAAAAGGGGCATGAACAATTCCTTACTTTCATGACAGCTTCCGAAACTGAAGGACAAATAGAGTATCCGAAGAGGCCGGTTGAGAATGTCGCTGATAATGAATTCTCGAGGAGTGATAATGAAGAGCTTGAGCACACTTATGAAAAGTTGTATAAGGAATCTCTTAACTTATCCAAATTGAATGACAAACTTACTACAAAACTCAAAGCATATAAAAGTGAGAATGTCAAATTAAAGAAAGAGATTTCTGAGGCTATGAATGATGCCATTAAGATTTCTAGTGATCGATAAGCTCTTTGTGCGAAACTCTTGACTTGTGAGACAGTAAGGCTATGAGTTTTAGATGCTAATCCAACCAGAATTGTGCCTAGCAGAGGAGTTTGTGATCTTAATCCCGTCATGTTTGCCACTTTGCTGACTATGTCGGGGATCTGTTTTCTACTCGAGCGGAGATCACAACCTTTCAGAAGTTTCACTCGCCTGCAAAAATATTGGGAGTTATTTTTTTCCGTTCGAGCGGCCATTCTTACACTCGAGCGGAGATCGCGGATCTGTTTTCTATAAATGTGTTTCGGTCTGATTTTAGGGTACGACTTCTAGATTTTGTTTTTGGGTATTAGGGTTTTTATCTAGAGCTTCTTTGCTTGTTTTCTTTTGATATTTGTGAGAGATTAATCATGAATTAAATGAATCATATCAAAGGGTTTGTTTGTTTTATTTATTCAATATAAAAAAGAGAGTTATTCTTTGGTGGATTCTGTGAAATTTGGGCTTGAAGCTTTGGTAGATTCTGGAGTGGTTCATCATCGTGGATTCGACATCGGCGTTGTGGATTCAACGTTGGACAAAACAATTCTGAGGTGAAGACCGTGGTGGAAGAAACATATAGGGGTCAATTCAGTCAGGCATAGATTCGCTAAGTAATTGAGAGTACACTTGTGTAATTTTTTTTGTCTTCTTAATGGATTATTTTGTGGCTTTTGCCCGTGATTTTTTTTTATCACAATTGGAGGTGCTCCAATTGTGGTTTTTCCACGTCAACATCATTGTGTCAATTTGTCTTGACTGTTTGATTGAAATTATTATTTACTGGTTAAAATTGATACATAATCACAAATCAATATCTAGGGGATTTCTAGATTTTTCAAAGTCGATGAGTCTTTTTTTTATTTAAATAAAAAGGATAACGGGCGATCAGCGTATAGCGTATGACAATCCACTATAACAAAAAACACATTTGGCGACCCAAAAATTGGTCGCCAAAAGTACAAATTTCGTCACCAAAAGAATCGGCGACAAGTATACAATTGGTCGCCAAAGGCCTGTCACTAAAAGTATTGGCGACGAAATCAAAAATTGTCATCGTATGTAGACATTTAGTGAAAAGCAAAATTGGTCGCCAAAAATATATATTTTGTCGCTATAAAATTACAGTTTGTCGCTAAAAGGTTAAAATTTGGATAGGCTCTGTAGCTTTAGCGACAAATAAATGCGTCGTCAAAAGTACTATTTAATGACAAAATTAATTTGGTCGCTAAAAATCACGTTTTTAGCGACAAGTAAGTTTTAGTTGCTAAAAGTTCTTGGAATAACCACTAACTTTTAGGGACAAAAACAATATGTTGTCATCAAATATATTAACAGCGACCAAAATACCACCTGTCACTAAAAATTCAATACACAAATTTTGATTTCAATAATTTTCCTGTTCAAAATAATCCAAAACACCTATTTTCCTGTGCACAATATATATACAAATGTAATGTAAATAATAATACAACTGTGCAAGACATTCATAATAATTCAATATTAATAGCTATGAAAAATCCTAATAAACATAATTACAATTATTTGACAATCTAAAACATGCAGGCCAAAGTACTTACAAACTATTAACATCAAACCCATAAATACATTACCAAATCCTATGTCAAAATATTTTCAAAAACACAACCAAATATTTTGATGCTAAACATCTAACCAACAAGTCATTTACTAAAATCTTATATAAAAATATTTGTAAAAACACAACACCAAATATTTTGATGCTAAACATTTAATCCATAAATCATTTACCAAAATCCTATGTCAAAGTATTTCCAAAAACACAAAATCAAATCTTCTGATGCAGCCCAAACTATTTTCCACCATTGCCAATCTGTCACATGAAAAAAGAAAAAACAATATTAGATTAAAAAAAAAAAAAAAAAAAAATCTCGATATGAATTTCACAATTTTGATTTTAATTTTGTAACGAGAAGTCCAATCGGGTGTTGTTTGCTCATACAAGTCTATTTAGGCTTGAATAAGCTGCCCGTGCCAAGTTTCGGTGGTTTCAGTGGTCATTTTGCAATTTCGGTCTCCGAACAGGACTTTTAAGTCTTGTGTTTTACATTTTTTCTTGTAATTTTCAAACCGGAAATCCAATCGAGGTCCCGTTTGTTCTTACAAGTCTATTTAGGTTTGAACAAGCTGTCTGTGCCAAGTTTTGGTGATTTCGATTGTCATTTCGCAATTTTGGCTCCTGAACGAGCCTTTTAAGTCTTGTGTATTACAATTTTCCTTCTAATTCTCTAACCGGAGATCCAATAGAGGTCCCGTTTGTTTCTAAAAATCTATTTAGGCTTGAAAAGGCTGTCTGTGCCAAGTTTCGGTGGTTTCAATAGTCATTTTGAAATTTCGGCCCCTGAACGGGCCTTTTAAGTCTTGTATTTTACATTTTTCCTTCTAATTTTTTAACAGGAAATCCAATCGAGGTCCCGTTTGTTCCTACAAGTCTATTTAGGCTTGAACAAGCTGTCTGTGCCAAGTTTTGGTGATTTCGGTGGTCATTTCGCAATTTCAGCCCCCGAACGGGCCTTTTAAGTCTTGTGTTTTACAATTGTCCTTCTAATTTTCTAACCGGAGATCCAATTGAGGTCCCGTTTGTTCCTACAAGTCTATTTAGGCTTGAAAAGGCTGTCTGTGCTAAGTTTCGGTGGTTTCGGTGGTCATTTCAAAATTTTGGCCCCCGAACGGGCCTTTTAAGTCTTGTGTTTTATATTTTTCCTTCTAATTTTTTGACCGGAAATCCAATCGAGGTCCCGTTTGTTCCTACAAGTCTATTTAGGCTTGAACAAGCTGTCCGTGTCAAGTTTCGGTGGTTTCAGTGGTCATTTCGCAATTTCAGCCCTCGAACGGGCTTTTTAAGTTTTGTGTTTTACAATTTTCCTTCTAATTTTCTAACCGGAGATCCAATTGAGGTCCCGTTTATTCCTACAAGTCTATTTAGGCTTGAAAAGGCTGTCCGTGCCAACTTTTGGTTGTTTCAGTGGTCATTTCAAAATTTCGGACCCCGAACGGGTCTTTTAAGTCTTGTGTTTTACATTTTTCCTTCTAATTTTTTAACCGAAAATCCAATCGAGGTCCCGTTTATTCCTACAAGTATATTTAGGCTTGAACAAGCTGTCCATGCCAAGTTTCGGTGGTTTCGGTGGTCATTTTGCAATTTCGGCCCCCGAACGGGCCTTTTAAGTCCTGTGATTTACAATTTTTCTTCTAATTTTCTAACCGGAGATCCAATCGAGGTCCCGTTTGTTCCTACAAGTCTATTTAGGCTTGAACAAGCGGTCCGTGGCAAGTTTCAATGGTTTCAGTGGTCATTTCACAATTTCG